GACTTCTGAGTATGTGTATATGTACATAGATATTCTTATGCAGGAATGTCATTCTTTAGAAGAATGTACAGGAGGCTGTTGACAGTAATTGCCTCTGGAGAAGGAAAAGGAGGGACTGGAGAATGAGGAAGGAACAGAGAATTTTACTGCACATTCTTTGGACTCTGCATTGGTTAGCTTGGCCATGTATCATTTAAGAAAAATTAATTTTAAGGGGGACACTAAACCCTTCCAGTGGCTCTGATTTGCCTTTGTAAAACATTGATTATAAATTATGTAAACGTGCTGAAAAGTAGCAAGTTCTGATCAAAAGAATACCAATAAAAGAAGCTAACCAAGAAGTTGGAGAATCCTGAATTAGCAGTTTCTTGTAAGTCTGAAGTGCTATCTACTTGTTAATCAAACTTATCTTGAGGAGTGAAAATCACAGACGTGTTCTCATGTGTAGTTATTTTTGTAGTTGAAATTTTCAATTATGAAAATGGCCAACATATATACTTTGTCAAAACAAGAGTTACACCCCTATTTACATGTGTACTGCTTAACTACCCCCAATGCCACCAGCACCACCACCAAGAATGATAAATACAAACTTATACTTTTCAAGTTCTTAAGAGGGTACTTTGCAAGTTACTTTTTTCTAATAATTTTATGTTTAAGTTTTGATCCACTTTAATTTTTCCAAAAGATGTAAGAGGTCAAATGTTGTTTTTTTTTTCTCTTACTTTGTTTTGGTTTTGACCTGTTGATGTCTAGTTCAACACCATTTGCTGAAAAGGCTATCTTTCTTCCATTGACGATGATCTTTTTTTTTTTTTTAAAGTTTTTTTTTTCAACGTTTATTTATTTTTGGGACAGAGAGAGACAGAGCATGAACGGGGGAGGGGCAGAGAGAGAGGGAGACACAGAATCGGAAACAGGCTCCAGGCTCTGAGCCATCAGCCCAGAGCCCGACGCGGGGCTCGAACTCCCAGACCGCGAGATCGTGACCTGGCTGAAGTCGGACGCTTAACCGACTGCGCCACCCAGGCGCCCCTATATTTTCAGTTTTATGTAAATGTGTTATATATGCAACCAGGTAAGAAATATATGTGAAGGAAACAGCTCAAAAGGACCAGCTGTCACTCCCATCCCTATCTGCACATAGAAAATATCCTGTTGCCACTTCCTTCCCACATCCTCAGTTGTAGACCTAAGAAGCTCGGCTAAGGATTACAATCAACTAGGCAGCTTTTGTCTCACCCAAACATCAGCAGAACTGTTCTGATGCCCAACCACGACAGAGGGGAGAAACTGTGATTATAAATATCACCCAACTCATCAGAACCTGTTTCTGAGTAAGATACTGGCTGTCACTGACAAAATGGCAACATCCCATTCCATGTTAGCCCACTGGCCTCCATATTCTTCCCACTTTCCAGGTATACTGTGGCTTTTGCCCTTTCTCAGATTTGTCCTCTGGATGTCCACGTGGCCCTATCCTTCCGGGGGAGGTGGGGAAGGGGAGCTTCTCTGCCCTGTTGAAATCACTCCGCTCAACCCTATACTATTTGGTCTCCTTCCCTGCTGTATTTTTCCTATTACCTCCTATCACCATCTAACATAGACACGTATATTTGATTTTTTGGTTAGATGACTTTATCCACTAGCATGTGAGCTCCATGAAAGCCGTTATTTCACTGCCATATCCTGTGTACCTAGAACACATATATGCTGGCATGTAATAAGTCACTTGATAAATATTTATTGAATGAATCAAGTAGAGAGGGCTCAAAAATCCTTGGTGAATGTCATAGCTTTTGACTACAATATTTAAATTGAAGACCAGTGGCAACCTTACTAGGGAAGATGTTAATATCCATTTTCTTCTAGGAGAATGTCAATTAAATTTTGTTAGTGTTTATTTATTTTTGAGAGAGAGAGACAGAGTGCAAGTGGGGGAGGGCAGAGAGAGAGAGGAAGACATAGAATCTGAAGCAGGCTCCAGGCTCTGAGCTGTCAGCACAGAGTCTGACATGGGGACCGAACCCACAAACCACGAGATCATGACCTGAGCTGAAATTGGACGCCCAAATGACTGAGCCACCCAAGCGCCCCAGAAGAGTCTCAATTATATAAACACATATAAATAGATAAATTCATGTTTCACAAATTCTCCTATTTCCTTCCCCAAATCAACTCACTCTCCAACATCCACCCCAGAAAAATATGAGAGACTAAAGGAAAAATGCATCTCTTGTCCATAGACCTTCTCTTATCTGACTGGGCGACTTTCTCATACCTACATTCGGTTCAGAATCTGTAACCACTCACCTTCTGTACTGCTATTGTTGCTTCTAGCCAGAATCAAAAATAGGCCAAATTGTCTTCTAATGGTTTCACTGCTTCCAAATTTGACCCTCCACAATCTTTATTTCCCAATCAGCCATAGTGTTCTAGACTGAGTTGTGGCCTTCTAAAATTCATATGTTTAGGCTGTAACCCCCAATGTGACTGTATTTGGAGGTAGAGCCTTTAGGGAAGTAATTAAGGTTAAACGAGGTCATACAATTAGGACACTAATCTGACAGGCTTCTCTCCTTATGATAAAGGACACCAGCAAGCTCAGTCTCTCTCTGCCATGTGAGGACACTGCAAGGCAACTGTCCTCAAGCCAGAAGAGAGCTCTCACCAGAGCCCAACCATACTGTTACCCTGATCTCAGACTTGCAGCCTTTAGAACTAGGAGAAAATACATTTTTGTTGTTAAATCACACAAGCTACCTAATACATGGAGTAATTCTTTTAAAACCTAAGACACACGAGGACCTCCCTCTGAGTAGAAATTTCCAATGGCTTCCCACTCCTCCCTGACTATGAAGTCTTAATAATCCTAGCAATTGCCTCTGGGAACCTATAAATTCTGGTTCCATTTCTAATACCATTTCCTTCTACTCTCCACGTGTCATTTCCTTCAGTCTCACTGGTCTCCTTCCTGGTTCTTGAACCCACCAGGTATGTTTCTATCTCAGAGTCCTGCTGGAATCCTCTTTCCCTAGATATTAGCATGAATCACTCCTTCACTTCCTTCAGGCTTTCACTCCAGTGTTTTCTTTTCCATGAGCATTACTCTTGACTACATACTTTAAATTGCAAACCCTCTCCCTGCAGACTGCATTGATGAGCCTTACTTCCCCTGCTGTTTTTTTTTCATAACGTTTACTTCCTTTTAACAAATCATATCATTTACTCATTTTTTATATTGTATTATGTGTTTCCTTCTGTTAGAGTACAAGCTTTTGTCTGTTTGGTTCACTGAGTATCCCAAGCACTTTGTACACTGCCTACCACATAAAATGCATTAAATAATTATTCATTAAATACAACTGACAGAGAGGCAGATAACCTGGGTTTTAGTCCCGATATTGCCCCTACCATGCTGTATGACTTGCCCTTTATATCTCTTTCTTTGTGTGTAATATAAGAACTTTGGATCATACTGGAAAGAAAGCCTACTTCTTTCCAAATGGTCCTGACTGGATTCTTTCTCACTAGTATGCTCTTTTGTTTATACTTATGTGGTCCTGCCCCAGCCTTCAGTAAGCATGCTCTTTCCTTTCCCAGAGCCTCCCTCCTTGGTTCATAATGTTGACAATCAGCAAATATTGGATAATTAAAATTATTTTGATTCACAGACCAAAAAAGTATAAAAGCAATTTCTGAAAATACTGTTCTGTCTTACAGTGTTAATTGGTCTCTAGTTCTGATCTCTAATCCTAAAATCTATGTTGGAATAGTACGAAACTACCTACAACTGTTGAGCTAGGATTTCTATGATATATTCTCTAAAAATATATTTATGATTTCTTCACACAAAGAAGAGTCACTTTGGGTAATACTGAACATGTTGCTTTTACCTTTTAAATACTGAAAAAAGTTTAAAGATCTTAACTCTCTTATGTCCTCCTTTTGGTATATTAATGTCAAGATATTTGAGAATTCTGCTAGCAACTTCTCACAGAAGATATTATTGTAATGAATTTAAAGTATATGTTTCTAAATGTCAGTTTAATAGACCTGCAAGTTCATAGTTAAGTTGTACCATCACTTCTTATGCAAAGGTATACATAAGTCATAACTTCCTTTTAGCAACAAAATGTTTGGTTTTCAATACCCTCAAAAATTATTGCAATAAATGCAAACAAACATGATTCCAGTTCCTAGTTGTAATGGAGAGTGAGTCCATAAACTAGATTGCCTGAAATAAGCTAAACTTTTTAGTAATTTAGGTGACATTTTCAGCTGGTATTTAGTGATGACCTACTACGCACAGGTATTGATTGCTGAGGATTAAAAAAATAAAAGTTCCTTTCTTCAAGGAGCTCACAGATTAGTAGGAATCAACTCATGTTGAAATAATGAGTTTTAACACAAAGCAAAATTTGAACATAACTCCTTAGTGTTTTTTTTTTTATTTCCTTCCTTTTTTTTTTTTTTTCCAGTTAAAGCCATGTAAAAGTAAATTCCCCGTTTTGAAAAATCAGGGGAATTAAAACAAATTAAGCCAATTATCTACATATCAATTAGCATACAGAGACATGGAATTATTTTCTCAAAGGTTAGTAATAGTCATTTTTAAGTGCTGCTTGCATCGTTTAAAAAATAACGTATTATCAATAAAACATTTTAGAAGAATATTTTTAACAAATTTCAACCCTAAGAACTAAAACAGCACAGAGGTGGATGCGCCACACACAATGCAGACTAGTAAATGTAACCAAGGGCTAGAGGTTACGGTGCAGAACGTTCCTAAATGGTTTCCTGCAGGAGGCTTGTGCCGTGGTGGGAAAAGCAACCTAGGTGGCGGCAATTCCTTCTTAAAAGTCTTGCTCTTCCCAGCCAGGCCTGTGGGAAACCTACTGGCACACAAGTTCTGCCTTCGGTCTACAAACATTGCTGGACACTGGAAACTAAGTTGGAGGAGTGATATGATTGGCTAAGAAATGAATGACGCAACGTACCTCAGGCCCTCTGAGAATCGGCCTCCTTCTCAAGTTCCGCTTTCCATTGGTCCTTACGGCAAAGAGGGCAGGGACATTTGCTGAAATTAACCTCTGGGTCGCAAACCCCGAGCAAAGATGGCGGCGGCCAGGTGTTGCAGGCTAGCCCTCCGCGGGTCGCGGCTGTCATTGCACACTGCGGCCGAGGCCGCTGTCGCGGCTCCAGAAGTGACCGGCGCAGTTGTCGCGGCGGCCCCCGTCGCGCGCTACCCGCCGATTGTGGCTTCTCTGACTGCCAAAAGCAAGGCGGCACGGCAGCGGCGAGTGGAGCGGTGGCAGGCGACGGTGCACGCGGCCGAGTCGGTGGACGAGAAGCTGCGAATCCTCACCAAGATGCAGTTCATGAAGTACGTGGTTTATCCGCAGACCTTCGCCCTGAACGCTGACCGCTGGTATCAGGGCTTCACCAAGACAGTGTTCCTGTCGGGACTGCCGCCGCCGCCGCCCGCCGAGCCATCGCCCACCCTGGACCTGGAGGCCCTGCGCGCCGCCGCGTGTGACTGCCTCCTGCAGGAGCACTTCTACCTACGGCGCAAGCGGCGCGCGCCCCTTTACCAGGACCGCGAGGCCATCGCCTCGCCCTTCCTAGATCAGCTGGTGGCGGCCCTCGTGGGCCTGCTCAGCGCGCACAACCCTGCTCTGGCCACCGCCGCCCTCGGTGAGCCTTGGGGCCGCCACGTCGGGCGAGGGTGGTGGGGGCTGTTCATGTCTTTCTCTCTGCGTTGTCTTTTTTTTTTTTTCTCCTAGTCCTTTCGCACCTTGCTGGGCGCCACCATGTTTAATAGTACTGAACTAGCAGTCTGGAGACTGGGTGGGTTCCCGGGCCGGTGCTGCCACCTACTAGCTGTACAACCTTGCACGCCTCCAGTCCTTGGCTCTGCTTTGTGAAGATCCAGCCAAACAGAAGAGCAGTGTTGGTTAGGAAAAGGGGCTCTTAGAGGGGGGACAGGCCTGGAGTTGGCTTTTGGCTCTTCCACCAAAACGTCCCGTGACTTTATGTCAATTCACTTCCTCATAGAATTGTGAACATTAAAGGTGATAGGGTGATAGGGATTAAAATACCTGACATTTACTAAGTACTTAATGTGTCCCAGGCCCGGTTCTAAATTTTATATGTGCCAACCAATTTAATCCTCACAATAACCGTTTATGGCAGGTAGCATTGTTTTATAAATGGGGCAAAAACAGCCTGAGGTACAAAAAGGTAAAATGAACCTCGTCGAGAGCCTCTAGCTGGTAGATTGGAATTAAGGACTCAAACCTAGCCATTTTGGGCTCCCAGGAAACAGTCAGCAACTTTTATGAACTGCTTAGTGCAGACTTGAAAAATAATTAATGGATAGTTTTAAAAGTCAGTGTTTCTGACGTCCTGTTTATTTTATATCTACGGCCTAGTAGGTGTCTTAATAAATACCTGTTGGATTAGTGTTATTATTGTAAGTGTAGATGTGTGTTCAGCTGAGTTGTGTAGCGTGCGTGCTACTTTACTTCGCTCGCAGTTGGGAAAGAAGTGGTCTTGAGCGATCCTCACCGATTTTGACTCCTAATTGTTGGCCTAGGGAAACTTGCTTGACTTCATCAAGACCCAAATTCCTGTTCTATAAAATGGAGGTGATGACAACCATACATACCTTTGAGAGTTACTGTGAAGATGGAATTAGTAATTTTTTTAATTTAATTTTTATATAAATTTTTTTTTTAACATTTACTTATTTTTGAGAGAGAGGCAGAGCGTGAGTGGGGGAAGAGCCTAGAGAGAGGGAGACACAGAATCCCAAGCCAGCTCCAGGCTCTGAGCTGTCAGCAAAGAGCCCGATATGGGGCTGGAACCATGAGCTGAGCTGTGAAATCATGACCTGAAGCGAAGTCGGATGCTTAACCGACTGAGCCACCCAGGCGACCCTTGAATTAGTAATTCTTAAGACAGCTCTGACTACTAAAAAAACTTACTATTTTTCATGAGTGATATTCCTGTTGGTCTTACTTTCGTTGTTTATTCTTAACTGAGAAACCTCTTTCATTACAGTGTTTAGTGTGTGATGCATCGCACAGGTAGACAATAAGTGTTTGAGCGTAAGTCCTGATCATTGAAGTTAAATCATCCTTTAAGCCAGACTCTATCTTACATCAGAGTAATTTTTGATATATTTTTAATTTACACAATTATTCTTGAGTTCTGTATTGCTGGTATTTTAATAATAACCAAATTTATCTAAATGATGAGATAAGAAAATTTTGAATATCTCATGATAGATTGTAAACGCCCAGTTCACTTTTACTGGTTGCGTGGTGAAGAAATTATTCCTAGTGGTCATCGGAAAGGTCGAGTTGATGCTCTGCGATACCAAATAAATGATAAACCACACAACCAGATTCGAATGTCCAAACAACTCCCAGAGGTAAGGATTTGTTGCATTATATATCTACTGACATCTGGTGAGGAAATGTCGTAGGCAGCCTAGGTAATGGGCTTAGTAGGATAAAAAGTTTTGGATGGGTCCCTTTTGAGTTTCTTGCAAGTACATCTCATCTGAAATTCTTTTTTAGCTTTTTAACCTGTTATGGAATGTCTAGTCCTTAAAGGTCAAATAATCATAAGATTAAGGCATCAGTTTTCAAGACCATACTTTTTCTTACTATAAAAACAGAAACAATTGAAAATAGTTTATGATTGTAATTTATAATAGATTACACTGCCTGATCATCAATCAAGGCATTTTTATAATTATAATTATATATATATATATATATTATAAAATTATAAAATAACCTGGTCATTTTATATATTACAGTTCTTTTGGAGAAAATAAGTATATTTTGAATGTTATCTTTGTGTCTGTATCAGAAGTTGGCACATTTTTTTGGTAAAGATCCAGACAGTAAATATTTTAGGCTTTGGGGGCCATAAGTCTGTGTTGCAACTATTCATCTTAGTTCTTATACTGTAAAAGCAGCTATGGACCATATGTTAATGAATGTGTGTGACTATGTTGCAGTAAAACTTTGTCAAGTAGGTGGCTGGCTGGATTTGGCCCACTTGGTGGTGTTACCAAATCATTTTGTAAAAAAAAAAAAAAAATCTCATTTTAAGATTTTTAAATCTATTAGGAATGTGAGTAAAATGGGTACATACTAGTGTTTCTGTGAATTCATTTATGACTTTCCTTTAAGTTTGTGCCGCTGGATTATTCTGTACCTGTCGAAATCCCTGTGATGAATTGTAAGCCAGACAAACTTCCATTATTCAAACGACAATATGAAAATACCATATTTATTGGTAAGTTTCCCCCTTTTTTGTTAATTTTTCTTTTTTTAATATTTATTTATTTTTGAGAGAGACAGAGACAGAATGAGAGTGGGTTGGGGCAGAGAGCGAGGGAGACACAGAATCTGAAGCAGGCTCCAGGCTCTGAGCTGTCAGCACAGAGCCAGACACCGGGCTTGAACTCACGAGCTGTGAGATCGTGACCTGAGCCAAAGCCAGATGCTCAACCGACTGAGCCACCCAGGCGCCCTGGTAAGTTTCCCTTTTGAAATATTGTGCCATCAATGTGTCGAAAGGATCCCATGCAAATTTACATAATTCTTGATGACCAAGAGGTTTCACATAGTTTACAAGCAGTATAATCCATAATCTCAGGTTGTTGCAGTATGCATGAAAATTGAGAAGAAAATATTCTTTCAGCTCACCATTTAAAATTTTACTTGTTTCTACTTAATTAGCAGTACTTTAAAAAATAGCTACATGTATTAGGCTTTGTTGATTTATTGTGTAAAAAAAGTAATTTGTATTTTTTCAAAAGTAAACCAGTATAGAATCAGACTTGAGGCAGTGATTGTTTTTCTTTTCTCTTTTTTTTTTTATAAAAGCTTCTGTTAGTACCACACACTGTGATAACCATTAAGAATATAAAAGTTAATAAGTCCTGATATCTGTCCTTGCGCAGCTTGTACTTTTGCTGTCTTTTTGTCTATTAATTCCTAGTCGATTTGATGGTTTTAAGAAACCAGCTTTATACTAGTCTTCCAGACCTGCTCCCTCTGGGTCATTATGGTCTTAGAGTGAATTATGGGAACTGTTGGTTGAAAAGACTACTACTAAACTCAAGAATATCAGCATTTTATGAAATATTGGCTATTCTTTTCCCTATTTGGAAATATAGTATAAAAGTCATTTTTTAAAAATAAGAACAAAGTATGTAGTTATTACATTAAAATGATAAAGGAAACTTTTAAATAAATTTTACATACATTCTGTTGACTTACCCTGTGTCATCGTGGGCTTGATGATAGCTAGCAGATTGTACTTTCACGTGAAGTTTAACTTTATTATAATCCATGAAATAAATAATAAACGTTCCCAATTGTGTATTTTGAATAGTGATCACATGATGTGTAGAGGAGAAGGGTGGGTTTGAAGCAAAGACTAACGACGTGCTGCAGATGTTCACATGTACATTTCATCTGAAATGTTTTCATTTTGGGGCGCCTGGGTGGCTCAGTCGGTTAAACATCTGACTTCAGCTCAGGTCATGATCTCTCAGTTCGTGAGTTCAAGCCTCGCGTCGGGCTCTCTGTTGACAGCTCAGAGCCTGGAGCCTGCTTCAGATTCTGTGTCTCCCTCTCTCTCTGCTCTTCCCCCTCTCAGGCTCTCTCCCTTCTTCAAAAATAAATAAACATTAAAAAAAAAATGAAATGTTTTTATTTTGCTCTTCAGGCTCAAAGACAGCAGATCCATACTGTTATGGTCATACCCAGTTTCATCTGTTACCTGACAAATTAAAAAGGGAAAGGCTTTTGAAACAAAACTGTGCTGATCAGATAGAAGTTGTTTTTAGAGCCAATGCTATCGCAAGCCTTTTTGCTTGGACTGGAGCACAAGCTATGTATCAAGGTAAAACTAATTTTATGCCATTGACGTTCTTGGAAGATTTCTGTGACGTTTTAAGAATTTACCGGTTTAAATTGTTTTCTTTGGGTTAAGATGTAGGTTGAATCTTACCACGTTGAAAACTTTGGTTGCGGTTTTGCAGTTTCAACAAAATATAGTTGTTTTAAAATTCATAA